GGAGAACCGGGAACACCAGCACCAAATGAAGCTTTGGTTCCTGGAGAACCTGGCCCACCGGGTAAGTGGAACTCTGCTGATCTGACTCTCTTTTTTCACTGCTTGACAATCAGCAGCAGCATTTGAAATTTATTTTTTTCAGGAGTTACAGGGCCGCAGGGACCACCAGGGGCTCCAGGTGAGCGAGGAAGCGACGGCATTCCGGGAATGCCAGGACCGAAGGGACCACAAGGGCCGCCTGGTGCTCCAGGAGATGATGGTGCACCAGGACCTCCAGGTGAACAAGGTCCACCAGGAAATCCAGGAGAAAAGGGTATCTGTCCCAAATACTGTGCCATCGATGGCGGCGTTTTCTTTGAAGATGGAACTCGGCGTTAAATCTTTCATTTTAATAGCAGCTAATATATTCAATTTTCAAAAAAAAAAATAAATAAATAAATAAAAAATAAAATAAAATAAAGTTGTAGAAAAAAAGGTTTAAGAATTGACAGGACGCCAGCAACCTTGTTATTGGATTTAAAAGCAATATGACACTGAAACGTTTTAGGGTTATAGGAAGTAAAGTACATGTAGAATGACTCTAGTTTTTGCAGGGGACTTTTCTTTCTGCATTTTAGATCTATTATTAGCTTTGGTATTTTTGTAGGCTGTATCTTTTTTAGTGATTGTACAAGTTGTTCTGTAGTATTTATAAATTAAAAACAAATTTGGGAACTCTAGTTTGAAATATCAGTCATTGTTGAAAAATCGTCTCTGTTCAACCTTCAAAGTTGTTACAACGATATATTGTTATCTACAATTTTCTTGTGACAGTTTTTTTTTTGCCAATAAATTGTAACCTTTTTTTAATAGAAAGCTTGAACATCACAACAAAGAAGCAAAGTTGAATGAAACAACTTTGCGCGAGGTCACTTGAAACTTTCTTTACAGTATAGAAATTATGAGAACATTGGGAACAACAAAAGCAATTTAAAGCAATCTTTTTTAAAAACGCTGAGGAAGTGTCAACTACAAATCAGCACTTAGCTGCTAGATTAAATAAGAGAACTCATTACTCAGCAATTAAAAAATAAACTCAATGTTGCAGCTTTTTATGATGTCGTGAAATTTTTACACAGTAAAACAAAAAACTTTCTAAATTTTGCAGCCTAGGGCTCATTTCTGACCCTATTCTAATAGGATTTCTTATCCCGACGCCTTTTTTTTCCTGTTACCCATCAACAATAAAATTGCTACTAATTTTTGCGAAACCAATAAAGTGACCCTCGGCTTACTGAAAGAGAAGAATAAAATATATTAGATTTGAAGCTCAGAAGCAGTTGCACATTTATAACAAATTTCCATTTCATTACTTCATCAGCTCTGGTGACAATGTAATTTTTAATACCTGTACAAATGTAAAAAATAATTTCAGAAATAAAATATACTGCACAGTAAATACAGTACAGCATTTGTACCTTTGTATTCCTCATTAATCTTTGTTAGCTTCAAGTTTTTCTTCAACTTTTGCTGCATCTAGCGGACAAATTTTTCGACTACCAGCTCCGCACAGATCCGCTTCGTCGGTAAATTGCTGCTTATTTGAGTCGTTTGCAAAATGTACAGAAAATACAACTTTGTCACGAATATCGAAAATAGTACAACCATGAAATGCGATGTTCAGTAGCACCTCGATGTACTCAAAAACTGCAAACGCATCATAGGCTGGAAAAAAAAAATTATTTATTGCTTTGAACGTTTAGCATCCGGAAAAAGATTTCGTAAAACTTTCAAATCCTAGCTAGAAAAGATTGCAATAAAATTATTTATGTTTTACTGTATTTTGTTTTGATTAGTAGAATTATAACATCATTTTCTCCAGAAGACTTTCATTAACAAATTTTGCTCAACATTTTGCTTATTTTTATAAACTAACCTCCGGTAACACATGCTCGCCAATAGAGCAGAAATGCTGTAACGAGAGCTGGAATTGTGAGCATATAAGAAATTCCAAATATCATTTTCAGGCGATAGGATAAACGCCCCTGTAAAATACAGTAGTAAATAAACAGACCTATAGACAAACTATTTTCGCTTACCTTTTTTTCTGATGCTTTTCAAAACAACTCTTCAACTTTAACCGATCCTAAAACTAAAGAATTATAAAAAGTTCAAAGCAATTACGTATGGATTCAGATAGTAGAGGGAATGTCGGTGACATATAAGGTTTGCAATAAAGAAGCCGATTCCACTAAATCCAAATATATAGAAAAATATCACGTGAAGAACTAAAAAAAGCAGTCAAATATTATAGAAAGGTATCAGTTTGTCATCGTGACTAGACACATGTTCTAAGCCCTTCAGAATTTCCCTTTTTTCCTATCTCTAGCATACACCTACGTTGAAACTCTAAAGTATTCTCCAGATTACGCCGCTAATTAAATCTGCTAACTCATTTTGTGACACCAGAAGCTCTAGAAAGAAACCAGAAATTGCATTGATTATTCTTCTAAATTTGTGCTGCCTTCTGTACAAAATTTGTTCAAGAAAATTTAGGCTGCTGCTTTTAGACGATTAATTGAATCTCTTATTTGCTTACTGTGCTTTCAAGTAGTCACAGTCTAGAAACGTCTAACAGGGTACTATAAAAGTACTAAGAGACAGCCTGTTGTTTCGAAGAAGGTAAAAAGGGAAGAAAAAAAAGATGATTACTTGGATATTCACGTTCTCCAACAATTGACAGTGCTGCAAGAGAGCTCAATTCCAGCAAGCCAATGAAAAAGTAGCAGTATCGGCTAAGTTCATAAAACCAGTTGTGCTTGTAGTGAATGTTCTTCAATCGATCATAGCGTATAACTGGTAAAGGAAAAAGATATTAAAAG